AATGACACGAATTTTGACCAGCTTCTACTCTCCTGGTTAGTTTATCTGTTACTTTTATCAACAATTTCATCTTTATGACCTTGTCTTCAACAACAGCATCAAAATCCGAACCGATTTGACATATTGTCATCATTGCTATTCACTACTTCTCTGAAAGAATAAACTACTGGGAAATTAGATTATGAGTCTGCATATTATCAATAAATTTCGCAGACGAAGTTGATGTATACGATAGTTGCTTAGTGTTTCGAATATCCAGCTGTTGTCAACAGGATTATAGTTGATTCATGTTGTGTAATACGGTTGTGTGTAATATGTCCTACTTTGTGATCTTATCCGAGTGGTTCCTGGTATATACTTTGTTTATCCCATATTTTATCCACTCAAAAACCATTTGGGTGTGAAAAAACTCAGTGTAGGTCATGCATTTTGTAAATGATATACATAATTATTTTTATATCTTACCGTAGTTTATTTGACCGAATTGACCGGTCTCTATTAGCATATGGGATCCTGTGCGGATGCTTCGATATTACCGGTGCTCTTATGATAGTAATGATGGATAGTGGCTAGCAGTGCAGTCCAGGATGCGCACTTTGTCCTATTTGCGACTTGTCAACTGGATGTACCTGCTTCCCGGTGAGTGATGTTGTTCCCACCGGGGTCCGGACTCGGGAGCGATCGCTTCAAACGCCAGGGCGTTATCCACTACACCACCAAACCACGATAGCTTCTTCTTGTGCGGAGGGTATAGTTTTTTTGTGTATACAATTGTTTTTATATCATACCGTCGTTCGAGCCCGAATTCCGGTGGGAAAAACATCACACCGGGAAGCAGGTACATCCAGCTGACTAGTCCCAAAAAGGACGAAATGCGCATCCTGAATTCCACTGCTAGCGAATAACCATCGTTACCATTTTTAAATGGTTTTCACCTAGTTGTTGGTGTACCGGTCCATCAGAGTCAACAAACCAGATTGAGTGAATTTGAACATCTGACAATGTTAGTTGAACCTAGATGTTAAAAACATTGATGACCTCAGCTCCATAACAGTAAAATATCAGTTTGGCGTTTAGAACATGGTAGTTTGGTTAGCGAAATCTGCTATTCAGCGTATGTGTTTTTCAACTAATCATATGTTTTCAGAAGCATAACACAATGAAACACTTAAGAGAAATTCCCCCTTGCATATTTTAACAAACTGGCATTACACGTGTTGGCTTTCCTGCATTTATCCTTACGTAATGATGCATAACGTTTCTCTAACATATTATTAGTGAACTTGTTAAGCAGTATATGCAACACAATACCACTGGCCAACCTTCTAGGTAAAACGCTGGAATCGTCATACTCCAAAAATCTTGAGATTTATACAAAGATAAACTTCAATATAAATCTTCCACTCGATGTCATGTAAGTGTGGGACATTTCAATCTGGTCACAGTCACAATTCACATTAACTATGTTACAATCTATTTAAATACAGGGTGAAGTGTAGGTAGATTACCAACATAAATCTCATAACTGGTTCAAATCAAACTAAACTTCGTTAGCTTTTACATACGATTGGTGATAGACAAAGCCCATGTCACAACTGAAGTAAAACGTTTACAATTATGCATAAAAAGCATTCAAACATAACGTAACTAGAAATCATTTTACAGAAAACAAACTTTATTTACTCAGTTCCAGTAACAATTCTTTTCCAGATAAATTTCAGTTAACCATGTAGTTGTTGTCATTAAACTAAGATTAGAAGAGACTAATCTACTAAGGAATATAGAAGTATTAAACGACTGATTTGAAGAAACGACTTCATTAACTTTCAAATTATCCCATCTATTTATCACTTAGCAGTTCTTATTCTGTTACTAACTAGAAAATTAACCACAGAAAAAGTAACTGACAACTGAAAACAACTTTCTGGTTTTTACCATATATATTATTCTGTAATGTATCTTACAAGTTATTTTTTAGTAGTCATTTGTCATTCAAACAATACCACTTTCATACATGCATATGAAGGAGTGAGTAGTACTTATATTGAACACTGTTTAATTGGACATTCGGTATAACTCTGAATGACCCTGAGATTTCTCCCGCGCAGTTAGAATATGATATATTATGTACTATACTTTGTCAAATATCCAAACCAGAAGCACAAGAAGATTTGTACCTCAAGATGAGGATGAAAATTGTTTGGCTTTTTTCCAACGTTAAGTTGCAACCCATCATCCATTTGAGTTTAGAATTTGCCATAGATAGCTCACATAATTCATTTTCTATTTGTATAATCAACATTTTTTGACTTACGTAGCTATGATGAGGATATAATCTTTGAATGTCGTTCCCTTTCATTTTTAGGTGTGTGTAATCAGTATCTCTCTATCACACTTTAACTCAGTAAGGAAATACTTTCTTGGCGCTTACATATAAATATGTTTACAATTTTAAGCGAGATTGGTGCTCGTAAAGGTATTCCTACGTTTAACCTATATTAAAATCTACAGAATATGAAAGGAATTACCACTTAACCGAATTTACTCATTTCACTAGACCTTTTACGGCTGTTTTGCATCTCTTAGACCATCATCATTGTGTATTCTTGTTCGCTTTGAGTTTTTAGTCATTTTTTTTTATCATGATTTTGCACATTATCTACGGAAATTAGACAGCTTACCTTTCTGAAGCTTACAGTGCAAAGTGTACTTCCTAATTATATCCTAATTAAATCAATTTTCAGATAACTTTCATTTGAATTATTAATGTAAATAAATTTTAGATATATGAGGTATTTCAAAATCAACATTCTGATTTCAAGTAGGAAATGAAATGTACAATGACGGTTCAAAAGTCTTTTAACAATTATCAGTTCGTAATCAGTAGCTAATTCTCAAAATACTTCGTTGTTTTAGGAGTCCAGCAGCTGACCTTAAACAGCTTAGTTGCTCGGAATATCAGCGAAAACCGGAATAAAGATGAACTGATGTACATTACGTCCACACACACACACCTAGAGTTTCACCTGGAATCTAAAATTTCATGAATAAATGATGTTCTAAAGTCAGTTATCTTAGAGTAAGTTAGTGAATATTAGCAACGACGATACCAATAGAAACCCTACAGTTTTGAATGAATACATAGAGTTCAAAGAAAGTGTTCCAGAGAATTCTCAGTTTACATAGTGGTACACGAAGACCGTGATACTTCTTAATTCTTAGATTACTCACTTTCAACTAGATTAAGATAGCGAATTTCTTGCATAAATGCGATCAGTATGTGCAACATTGAAGTAACCTGACACGTATTTGTGATATTGAATGTAGGTGGGAATTATATTTATTATGTTTAGGTAGCTGGACATCAGGTTAAGTGGTCATATTAGAAGATCAAAGTCACTTTTGATTCACCCTGAATGAAGGGTAACTATCTTTAAAGTGCCACTAAACTAATATCAAAGGGTGGAACTACTGGTCAAATGACTTCAAGTATGTAGTCATATAAGCGGTAACTTGTTTACAATGATTGTGAATGAAGCAACATAATAGACAGCTAATAGTAAATCAAATATAAAGAGATCAGTAGGTAGCCAATCAATCACTGGAAACCGATTAAAGGTTAAATACTCATAAGTTGTACCAACCACTTTATAATATAACCTTCTACCCTGGATAGCAAAAGCGTGTTACAACTAAGGTGATGAACAGGAAGGCAATCCAAAGGCCTGTTTTCTATGGACTCTACCATTACTATTAGAACATAAACATGTTACAGGAACGGCAGCCAGAAATGAGCCACACTAAATAATACAACAGCATTCTGAGAACATAAAGCGAAGGGAAGTGAATAAAAATAAAACAATAAGAATAGAATGATTAGAACAGCAGTCCAGTAAGATACATTTGAAACAAAACATTCATTACTTTTCAGCAGCAAAAGACAGAAGGAAGCTACAGCACTGCCACAACTGATTTCTATTATAAGCTATATCAGATAGCGTCTCAAGCCACTGAGTTACGTGATCTCTCGGACCACACCAAGGGAGTTGTGATGCACCAACAGATGCTAATCCAGTACATCTATCCTTCATCCCACGGCGCCATGTAATACACTGATCGCCCCTCCGCTTTTTCCATCTAGTCCCAGGGTAGGCAAACAATGAACGGTGTGAAGGCCTTTGGGACAACATACATAACACATATCCAAGCCACGGAAGCCAGTATTTCTATAAGCCTCCATTCATTGAATAACGACCTCCATCATCCCCAAACACACTGTCGTGCCTAACAATTACTTACATGTCGTTGCCATTGGACCTGAACAATCTTACGGGGACAAAGATGATCGAATATACCAATTGTCGCATATCCCCAGCTCTAAAAGGCCAGGTTTCATAGGCATAGAGCAGAACTGTTTGCATAGAAGCGTTATAAACCCAATCTTTTATGGTCAGACTAAGATAGCAATGGCGCCAAAGGTGGCCCAGACTGACGTACGATATGTGGTTGTAAATTTCACCACTCATACCTCCATCAACACACACAACTACACAGACACATTAACTTTTCGACTACTTCCAATGGTTCATCACTGACGATGAGCACAGGCTCCTGTCAATCTTGCAAAAGTCCTTTTCACTTCAGTGGTCCAAAGCACATACCATATTTATGGACCTATTTGTTAGTTGTCCTAATACTCCAGTCTTAATGTTCCCACTAAACCTAAACATAAAATCTACAAATTCTAACTCCTAAGTGTTATCTATCAGTCTGTAGAGTCATCCAATCAGTGTTAACTACTATTTTTGATTTCTAATTTCTCATTGTCAATAACGATGCATCAAGTTGATTTGCCTTCTTCTTCTTCTTCAAGTGACTGCATCATACATACTGAAACACAAAGTGTAACCGATCATTTACCACTGAATTTTGTATATGTGACTTATATGCTTAGTCAAGAACCACCGATCATTGGATGTTCAGCTAAGATGCATACTTCATTAATTAATGTAAAATATTTTAAGTGGAAAAGTATAGAAGGGAGTTCAATGCTAATTTTCAAACAAAAATGATATCTAGTATCATCATAGCTTGGAATTTCAATAAGATACCATCAATGAATATACATTAGTAATAATTTTTTTCAGATTATCACTGTAATCTATTCAAAGTTAGCTGAATAAAGATTCTCGGAAATACTTTTTATCAAATATCTCTGAAATTGGAATCAGTTGAGTTTTCCAGTTATCGATTGGATCAAAAGAAGGTTTTTTAAAATCTTTGTACTTTAGTATCTTCAGGGGTGTATTTTTAACTTGTGGATAATCACTACCTGATTCTTTATCCCAGAGGAAATCTTTCTCTGAGTTATAATTTAGGTCATTCAAAATCATCGGCTTCGGAATTACTTTGTTTTCTTTCTCTGCTGTGGTATCCGTTGAACACTTAATAGTTGAATAAGTCTCATCAGTCTGATTTACTTCAAAACGCTTTTTACTTTGACCACTCATATCTCTGACAGTTTTACTGGTATGATAAGTCCCACTTGTTCTTGATTTTCTAGATAACTGATGCTTTTTTAAATTACTACCTGTGGTTTGCATCTTGGAAGGAAAACCTAAAAATTATGGAATATAAATTAAAAAGGAGTGAATTAATTTTGGATTAAATTTAACATTAAGACTAACTGGATTTATTCAGGTGAAAATCAACTTAAATGTAGAAATTAAATTTAAGTAGCTATAAAAGGATTAACAAAACCACTTTAATGAAAAGAATGTGAGTATATTCATATCTGATAAACGACGCCCATGCCTTTAATATCTTCTATATTGGCGGCCTGCTTGAAACTTAGGCTACTAAATTTATCCATCCAATATTTTTCATCAAATTCTTTCCTTTCAATTTGTTTTAATCATTTAAATATATTCTTTGAACATATCATGTACTCTTTCACATTTTTAAACTGTTTCCAACTCTCCTTTGCCACAGTCAATAACAAAACAGAGAAAAATATTACACTATATGGAAATGAACTTTTCGGTACAAAAAAGTACAGTATATTTCCATTCATCAGATGCTTATCTTGAGTTTCAGATTATTGTACCGTGTGAATGAACCGCCACCACCATGACCAAAATTATACTTGCATTTCTGTTGATTCTTCATTATCGACTTGACGTCCATCGAGAACCAGCTGACTATTTCATGTTATTGCATTGAATACATCATACAGAAGCAGTGACTATTTCGTCTGAAAGTATTGTTTTTGGAGTGAATTTATTAAAAAATTATATGCTGAGAATTCCATACTGTCATACATATTGTTTGGAACAAAGCGAGTATTATTATTATTGCCTGTATCAAAAATGTGGTAAACTGATTTGTTGACTGTGCAAATGAATGGCGAAATGTTTTACAGCACAACGTAACGACTATACTCCTTTGGTGATGGTTACATATTCTTCCGTCACTATGCAAGGGTTATTTTTGTCGCTTTCGTAAACTGATACTCAGTTTTATTCATTCACATTTTAAGTTGTTCTTAGTTGGCAATTATTGGTTGGTTGGGGGCAATCGGTAGGAAGCCCTCGACCTAGGTTTCATGCTGGTTGGCACTCGTCAGCAAGACCTATCTGTGACCTTGACGGAAGTGATGTCCCACCTGATATTTGAACTCACGTTATCCAATGTTATAGTCAGAGAATTTACGGCTGAACTATTTGGGCTGAGATTAGCCTCCTGCTGATTGCCTCCGACCAACTAACATCTACTTATGGGCACTGTGAAGCTAAGCCTCGTAGCTTAGTGACCACACTGCAAATATGATCGATACAACTGAATCTACACTCAGGACTAGACAACAAGTGATTGGCTACTTTCCTGTGACTAATCGGTGCATTAGTTGACAATCTTTTGCCTTGACCGAAATTCTGAAACTTTATAAATCTGATTTCCTTTAGTCCTCTCGAAGACCAAGTAGAATCCCAAGAACAATGGACCAGTATTTAGTACCGTAAAATATGTAGTTACCAAAAATATTTTCAGTTGGACAGTGAATTTGTAAATATTCATTGTGCGGCTTATTTGAATTTGGTTGATACTTCATATGAATGAAGTACTTGCAATAAGACAGTGGCCTTTCTAGACGACAACTTCCTGTTTGTCAACAAACTGGTAACATAAAAATGTATTTTATGCCTAGTAAGGTGTAGACAAGGAGAAATTTCTGAAAATGCCCATCACACTTTTAGGGGAATCCATTTCTGAATTTGTATATCTCATATGTTATGCAACTTCGAAGATGAGCAAAAGCATCAAAGCATGATAATATAATCTGCCTCATTCCATTTGAACTGATTTACAGGATTTATCATACAGTGGGAAAGTATTGTTTACTAGATTACTTTTCAGTCACAATTTATTGTCTATGATCATATCAAGATAACTACACAACTTTGAGACATTCATAATATTATATAGTCCTAATTTCCTCCCCCCTTTCGTAATGTGACTAGCATGAATTTCCAAATATCCGCAACAGGTGCTGGGTCACTCCTGTTGCATGTATTAGATGTTGGTTCGATAAACGAAGTTTTAGTTACCAAGCTGTCCCTCCACCCTGCTATGTTAGTTTTAAGGATTTTTACCCTGTGTTCAATCGCACGCAAAGCTATGGTTTAGCCTTCTCCTACATCCTTAATCTTATTAGGATCTACCACTTTTGACCTAGATAGGTTAATATGCTCGAAAAGTCTAATCAACCCTGGTTGACCACTCTGACCTCGGTATTTGACCTCGAAATCTTAGCAACAGATGTGGTAAACCAAGTGATTCTGCTCAATTGGATCAATAGGATCTTGGGAGCTTAAAAGCTTATTTCTAAGTAAGTTTGTAGCTTTGAATGCTGCTCTATTCCCAGCCTTGTTGAGAATCCTAGATCATGTTTGTAAGGTACCTTCATTGTATGTTAATACTGAAGAGGTTTCGAACTCTCTCTTCACAGTACAGTCACTATTATTAATAATAACATTATTATTACCACTGTTAACACCTGTGTTACTAATATTAGTTATCTTTTTCCTACGATTTATAAGGAACTTATTAATTAGTTTGTATGGGTAACTGTTGATGAGAAATGTGTCTACAATGGATCTGGTTTCTTGTCTTAGATCTCCTGTGTTACTAGTAAGTTTTCTGACTGTGTTACTTTTCTAAGCCAACTTCAAAGGATGTAGGGTGACAAGAAACCAGACTTATTGCAGACACGTTTCTCATCAACAGTTACCCATATAAACTAATTAATAGGTTCCTTATAAATCGTAGAAAAAAGATAAATAACATTAGTAACACAGGTGTTAACAATGGTAATAATAATGTTATTATTATTAGTAGTGACTGTACTGTGAAGAGAGAGTTCGAAACCCCTATATTATTACCATACAAAGAAGGCATCGGTGAAACACTACGTAGGATTCTCAATAAGGCTTGGAGTAGAGTAACATTTAAGTTTACAAACTTACTTAGAAATAAGCTGTGAAGGTTGCAAGATCCACCTGGTCTTAAAATGATTGATAGACTTCATTCATTACTCAGCTTCTACAGAATTCGTGACCAAATTATTAATTGTTCTCTTTCCTAAAAATGCTAATAAATGTTCATCACTTAACGAACATCCACACATAAAACTTCAAGTTTTTGTAAAATAGAGAGCTAAAGAAATAAATCCACTTCGTAAACATATCCTAAATCTTACCCTTGGTGGTTTATCAATAGCATCTGGTCCTTCAGGACGCACAAATAATCTGACTTGATCTAATTGGTGTTTTGCAAATTCAGCTGCTTTAATCCGTAACTGATCTCCAACACTTATTCGAAAAAAGTATATTCGACTTGCAAGTAGCCTATTTAAAGATATAAAACAAATACTACTTAAAATAAGTGGAAGTTTTTTTGATTAGATCTTTTTCATTTCAATGATTATACTGGTAAATATTAGTTGGTTTTCAAAATATATCCATCGCATTATTTCAAACAATAAATGACTGGTTAGAAGGTTAATCATTTAGTACTTATTACACTTTTGTCGTTCAGCATCATCAGAGGCTGATACATTCGTAAATATGCCTAGTTTACCTCAGAACTGGTGTAACTAAGTTCAATATGCTCATATTATTATTATTATTAGTCCCTTGGGTTCCTAGTGGAACATAGGGCTTCAGTAGCACGCCTCCAGTGACCTCTGTTCTCTGAGATCTTTTGAACCTGGTTCCACGACAGCCCACAACCTCTCATTTCCTCCTCGCACGACCTCCTCCATGTCACCCTCATCTCGGACGTCCAACTCGTCGCTTCCCATGGGGATTCCACTCGAGCAACTGGCCTGACGCGTGATGTCCTCAGTCGGCCTTCTCAGTGCATGGCCAATCCATCTCCACTTCCTCCTGCATATTTGTTGCGTGATAGCTTCTTGGTTGGTTCGTTCCCAGAGTTCCTTGTTGCTTATTTTTTCTGGCCATCTGATCTTCAGCAGCGAGCGTAAGCAGTTGTTGATGAATGTCTGTAGTTTATTGGAAATGCCTTTCGTGACGCGCCAAGTCTCTGAACCATACAAGAGCACTGACTTGACGTTGGTGTTGAAAATCCGTATCGTGTTCTGCATGCTGAGTGCAGTGCAGAAGATCTCCACACTGGTTTCAGGCTAATGAACGCCTGTCTTGCTTTTCCGATTCTGACTTTGACGTCCTCGTCCGTCCCGCCTGTAGTTGAAACAGTGCTTCCTAGATAAGTGAAGGAGGTTACTTCCTTTAAGTTTCTCCCGTTGATGGTGACTGGAGTTTGTTGTTGTTGTTGATGGTGGCGGTGCGGTATCTTCATCACTTCTGTCTTCTCTATATTCACCTGAAGTCCCGTCTTCGCTGCCCTGCCTCTTCTATCAACTTGTTAGTTTTTGCCTGCAGATCTTCAAGTTTATGTGACAGTAGGCATAAGTCGTCGGCGAAATCCAAGTCTTCTAGGTTCTTTTCCGTCGTCCAGTGTATCCCCCTCTTCTCGCTGCCTACTGTTTGCTGCATGATCCAGTCCACCACAATAAGGAATATCATGGGGGATAGTAGGCAACCTTGTTTCACTCCTGTCTTCACTTCACTTCAAAAGCATCACTGAGCTTCCCATTGTGGATTACTTGACATGTGGCATCTTCATATAGTTGTTGAATGAGGCGGATAAAGGTTTGCGGTACTCCGTAGTATTGAAGCAGTTTCCAAATTACTTCTCGGTCGACGCTGTCAAAGGCCTTCTCAAAGTCGATGAAGTTGAGGTATAGAGCTGATTGCCATTCTACGCTCTGTTCTATGATGATACGAAGCGTTGCAATTTGGTCAGCACATGATTTGTACTTCCTGAAGCCTGCCTGCCTGTTCCGGTCGTAGTTTTGAATCCAGTGCGTCTTTAAGCCTCTCCAGGATGATGCGGCTTAATATTTTACTTGCATTGGGTGGACAGGAGAGTGATTCCGCGCCAGTTCTTGCAAGCACTGAGGTCTCCCTTCTTCGGCAGTTTGACAAGGTAACCCTTCTTCCAATCACTAGCCAGGTACCTTCTCTTCCTTCCACACCTTCTGCAATAGTGGTGTGGTGTGAGCATGTCCGCTGTTGTCTCTGCATCTGTTCTCAGTGCTTCTGGCGGTATTCCATCTGGTCCTGCTGCTTTCCCGCATTTCAGTAGCTTTATGGCGTTCAGGACTTCCATTTTCGTTGGAGGATTTATGTTCACTTGTAATTCAGCGGCTGCAGGTGGTATTTCTGGACGAAGTGCATGTGGTGGTCGATTCAAGAGCTTCTTGAAGTGGTCGGCCCATCGTTTCCTCTGTTTCTCTTCTTTCGTAATTAAATTTCCTTCTTCATCTTTTATTGGTTTCATCTGTGTTGGTCTCTTCCCTGATAGCAACCTGGTTATTTGATACAATGTTGTCAGGTCTCTCTCTCCTACCTGCAGCCTGTTCTGCTTCACTTGCCAGTGTTTCGTAGAAGTGTCTTTTGTCTTTGCGTGCACTCTTCTTCACTTCTTTCTCCAGTGTTTTATACATTGTGCTCAGTTCCTCTTGTCGTTGAGCATCCTTGCACTGGTTTATCCTCTGTTTCACCATCCTCCTCTCCCTGCTCTATCAGCTTCCAGGTATCCGTCGAGATCCATTCCTTGTCTTCTTTCTTCTTCCTTCCTAATACTGTTGTGCAGGTTTCTTTTCACATAGCTTTCAAAGACTTCCAGTGTTCTTCCACACAGGTTTCTTCAGGGATGTCCCTCGATATCTCCCATTTTGTCTTGATGTCTGACTGATGTGAAGATCTCCTTTGTAGTTTCATCCTTCAGTTTCCGAGTGTTGTACTTGAATTGAGGTCTATCACCAGCTTCCTTGAAGGCTTTTAACTTGATTTGGAAGGTTCCTTGCACTAGACAGTGAGTGGTGTGAACCTACATCTGCTCCTCTTCTTGACCTTGTGTTAAGTAGACTGCGTCTCCATTTTCTTGAGATTGAGATAAAGTCGATTTGATTTTTAGTGTGTCCGTCTGGTGAAGTCCATGTCGCTTTGTGGATATCCTTGTGCCTGAACACACTGCCTCCAATCACCAAATCGTTGAATGCGCAGAATTCTGCAAACAATTCTCCATTCTCATTCATTTCGCCTAGCGCCTCTCGACCCATGGTTAGTTCTCTTCCTGTGTTGTCCCCTCCCAGTTTGGCATTCATGTCGCCCATTAGAATTTTGATATCGCCAACTGACGTCTTGTCCAGTGTTGATTGAAGTTGTCTGTAGAATTCCTCCTTTTTCTCTTGCTCTGCATTATTTGTAGGTGCATAACATTGTATGATTGTGACTGTCCTTCCTTTTGAGTTGAATCTTGCCGTCATGATCCTGGAGGAGATTGGTTCCCACTGCATGAGAGCCTTCGATGCTCTTGAGGACATCATGATAGCCACTCCAACATCCAGTGTGCTCGTGGTTGGCGTCTGGGTGACAATATCGGAGTAGATTATTGATTCTCCAGTTGACAGTTTGGAGAGACCACTCCCATTCCATCTGCTTTCGCAAATCCCAAGCACTTCGATGTGATACCTTCTCATCTCCTTTGCAATCTGGGCTGCCTTACTGGGTTCAAACATCGTGCGGACATTCCATGTCCCCACGTTTACTTTCGCTTTCATCGAGCGAGAGAAGACACATCGGCCAATTGGCTTCCCGAAGGCTTTCACCAACTGGCGTCATTTCGCCTCTCCGATTCCAGCGGGGAATAAGTTTGTTTTCATTTTTTATATTTTGTTTGTGCTTTGAAGTTTGTTTAGCGGTTAGATTTGTTTTACGGGGTAGGGTTGCTAGCCCTATGCCCAACCTTCCCTGTATACCCGGGCTTAGGACCGGCTAGTAACTAGTAAACTAGTTAACCAGGCGAGGTTCAATATGCTCATAACTTCGTCATTATAATGAGCTGCTAATTTTAATAATGTAAAAGCAGCTCTGTGTACCATCAGACTACGAAATGAAAAGGATGAGCTAAATTTTGTTCTGCATAATTTCTGTTTAAATTTTATTAGAAATTTGATAGCTCACATTTTAAATATGCATCAGGTCCACAATAAGCAGAAGGTCTATTCAGCACTTGTGAATCACTAATTCTTCCTTATGCTAAGATGTTTTTGTATATAATGTTGGATTCACTGCAATCCTTATTTGTGGAAAATACGAATAATAACAACTAGCTTGTTGAATTTGTCTTCTGTACCTTTGTAACTAACTAATTTTTTTCTACTAGCATAAACTCTGCATTTCTATGCATTAGTAGGATAAAAGTTGCAGTGATATGAAAGTTAGTAAAAATTAAATAGTGAACTATTTATATTCACAGGCTGGCTTCAGGAAAAACAAATCATATGCGAATCAAATTGCTATGCATCATCATAGAACAGAGTATAGAATGGCAGTCAACTCAACTGAACCTCAACTTCATCGACTTTGAAAAGGCTTTCGACAGCGTCGACCGAGAAGTAATTCGGCAGTTGCTTCAACACTACGGAGTGTCACAAATCTTTGTAAACCTCATTCAACAACTATATACGATATGATGCTACATGCTGAGTGATCCACAACGGAAAAGTCAGTGACGCCTTTGAGGTGAAGACAGGAGTAAGAGAAAGCTGCCGTCTACTATCACCCATGATCTTCCTGGTCGTGGTGGACTCGATCATGCAGCAAACCGTGAGCAGTGAGAAGATGGGCATATACTGGACAGATGAAAAGACCCTAGAAGATTTGGATTTCTCCGATGACTTGTGTCTAATGTCACACAAACTGGAAGATCTGAAGGCAAAATCCAACAAGTTGACAGAAGGGGCAACGAAGACGGGACTTCAAGTAAACGTAGAGAAGACAGAGATGATGAAGATACTCAACCAACAGCAACAACAACAACAACAAGCTCTAATCACCATCAACGGGAGAAACCTAAACGAAGTAGCCTCTTTCACCTACCCAGCCACACATGGCAGCATCGTCTCAACCACAGAGGACGGCAGAGACAAGGATGTCAATGCAACCAGGATCGGAAAGACAGCAAGACAGACCTTCCTGCATTAATCTGAAATGATCAGTGTGGAGATCTGCTGCACTCAGCACAAAGAACAAGATCCAGAATTTCAACACCAACAACAATTCAATGCTTCTATATGGTTCAGGGACTCGGCGTGTCACGAAAAGCATTTCCAACAAACAACAGACATTCATCAACAACTGCCACCTACTCTCACCCGATACTGGAGATCAGATGGACAGAATAATAAGAATAAGCAACAAGGAGCTCACTCCGGCCTGACAACCAATCAACCAAGAACCTATTACCCAACAAATATGCAGACGAAAGTGGAGATGGATTGGGCATACACTGAGAAGACCATTCGGGGACATGACGTGCCTGGCCAGGCCGTTGAGTGGAACCCAGATGGGAAACGATGAGTTGGGTGTTCGAGGGTGACATGGAGGTGATCGTGTTAGGAAGAAATGAAAGGTTGTGGGCAGTCGTGGAGGCAGGTGAAGCCAGACTGCATGGAAGAGAAGAGAGTGGAATGGAGGCGTGCTACTGAAGCCCTATGTTCCACTAGGGACCTAAGGGAATAATAATAATATTTATATCTAGTCCTTAACTAGTATTCTTTTTTGTGACATTCAGATAACAACATTTTGATAAAAATACTTATTATAATCTTTAAAATTATCAAACTCTCGTCTTTTTCACTAAATATGTCTTGCGTACACAATCTTGTCACTGAGTAGACCGCATTAGATATCTAGCAATAAATGGCATGAAATGAATTTGGAAAACATTGTTCGACAACCTGTGGTCAATTTCTAAGAAAAATATATAGACACAAAATCTATTCCTCTTCATAATACCGATTTCTCTAAAGTTGTTTATCCCGAAAAATCACTGAAAATTACCATTACAATTCAAAAACTATTTGAGTGAACAAAAGAATATTCCTTTTGATAACTTCTTCTTCAGATTCTACAGTTATATGTACATACTGAAAAATTACGCGTCAGAAATATAGATACTCTAATTATCAGTTTGTTAATATTATACAGTTGAGAAAGTCTATTAAGAAAAGTTGTGTGTGAAGGTTTTCGATGGAATCGATTGGTACTAGGGTTCAATTCCAAATGATTGGTTAGCTTAATGATTATATGGCTTGTGTAATACCATACGGTGATAGTTTAATTTAAAAAAATAGGAAGGTATTCATGGCAGCTGGTTGAAGCAAACTGAGAAGGACAAAATAGTTTAAGAAAACCTGCCAAAATTATTTCACATTATAGGAGTACCTACAGTATAGAATTAGAATATCTGGGGAAAGATGCGGACAACTTTGTGCACCTCGCGTCGTACATGTTAATTGTGGAGGTAACACTTGGTTCTTCTGAACACACAACTCTGTTTCTTCGATCCTGGCTGCTACTGCTTCTGCAGTTTGAAGGATTCTGAGCTGAGTACCTTTTGGCAAGTTGATGAGAACGCGGTGTAGAATGGAAAACAGCTCACTCATATCCACTTTATGGTTCATTTCAACCAAGTGTGCTACTGTGAAGCTGGAAATGGTCCTTACTCCACCTTTACTTAACCATGCTAGGAAGTTTTTGCGTACACGGAAAATTAAATTCCTAGAGGAGCGGCAGCAGCATAGTGTCATCCAGGTAATACTCTACTCTTGTGATTGTTATTTCACTTTGCATATTCTGCCTATATACTTCAGTTTAAGGCAACTCAAACAAGATGTTACTTTAAACTAACTTTTATTTCGATGTGCGTTTATCTTACTTATTTTTATTAATTTAACTATCTGGGACAGCCATGGTTTGGCAGACTAGTATTGACTCTGGATCGATGATTGAAGGTGAAGTGAAAATTCTTATCATTATTCAGTACGAAAAATTTATTATTTCCGGTTACACAAAAATGTTAAACAAGTCTGGAACTCTTCGTTAACTTATAATCTAAATTCATATTTCATAAAAGCAAAAGCAAAAGCCCTTCCAAATCTGATCTGTAAGTAACAATACAACCACAAAGTATACCGCCAAAGACCAATGTTTGATGGATGGCAATCACTAAAATGATGATTATTTCATGATGAAAGTGTAAGCTAAAGTGGACCGCTCAAACTAACCAAAGGTATCAATCTACAACACAAATTTCCACTTTAAGTATATTCATTTCAACTTATTCACCAATGGCAGATGAAAGATATAGACCTTAAATACCTCATTAGACACTGTTAGGAAGCTTAATGTATTCGACTGTCATTGTTTCTGCAGGACTATCTACATTTCTCGACTTAGCAGTTGTATGAGAAAGTGATTTTCATTGTTCAACTGTATTCATTATGTAGAATCAGTTTGACTGAAGTAAACCCGTTGTGTATAAACTAACTTGTTTGCTTTAACATTCACCTCTACTAAGCTACTTTACATTCTGATGAAAATAATTTCAAAAGCAATTTGAGTGGATGAGAAATAATCTTTTCGACAAATTTTTATTCAGATCCTACAGTCATATATATACAGAGAGAGAGAGAAAGAGTAGTTTTAAGTCACCAGTATTGAGATTTCTCTGAGCAGTTTGTCAATAATATTGCGCACTTGACGAAATCACTTCAGAAAATGAATCGGAGCCGGGTACCTTTAGGCAAGTTGAATGAAACCCGTAAATAATGAAAAACAATTTATTCATATCTACAGTACGATTTGTTTGGACCAAATGTGCTGGTAATGGTTGTTACTACACTTTTATTTAACCATGTTTCGAGGCTTTCGAGCGCATGGAAAATTTAATTCTTAGAGCAGCAGACGGCGTAAGTAGCTCAACGTGAGCAGTCAAACTAATAAATACAACAGGAAGTGGCCATTCTAGGCAGTCTCAGTGTCACCAGTAAGCACGTAGAAAACGTAGTTTATAACCTTTCAGTATTAAAAGTTTTCTGAATTAATCTGCGTTGCTTGTGAATTAATATCTTTCTGGACACTTCTTTAAACTGTATCCGGATGTATAACGGTATTTTACAAGATAACGGAATGCCCTTTCTTTCTATCTTTGTAATCGTATGTTTCCTTATGAATTTAACAGATTATCTATTTTTGATTACTGTGCTGCATAAAGTCGTCAATTCCTCTACAATTGTATCTTCTCAACTTGTAGCCTTTATTTTGCGATTCGGAGTCTTTTTTCAAATTGATTTTTTACTGAAAGGAGACAAAGCTAAGAAAATGGATGTATTGTACTGTCCTTTAAATGACACTTAAATAGAAATTGACTTGACCACTTTTAGCAGCTAACCCATAGTAAAGATGTGGGTATAAACCTAGCAAACTATACTAAAACTGGGTGAGATTATTAAAATAAAAAGGTATTTTAATGTCTGAAACGTCCACGAAATTTTCATAAAAGACTTCCTAAGGTTAAGCCATTGAATTACTAGACTCAAGAGGCACTAACTTCTTACGATAACTAATCATTGTTAGCATAACGACTCGAAGAACTAACTCACTTGTAGGTTATCTTATCAGTTCCCTCAGCGTCAATATATTTGATTATTGTTTGCAGATCGTCAAGAGTTAGAGGGATTTGACTCTTCTAAAACAGATATTAGCGAAAGAAAAACTGTGAAAATAGAAAAATTCAAAGTTTCCTCAACGATATATACTTCTTTTTAGCTGCCAATTAACTAACTTCGATTATCCAAAATCATCTTCAATTCAAAGTTAAGCAAGGCTAGAAGATTTTGCAATATACTGAGATTATCATCACTTCACAAAGTTTATCAAACCTCTTTGATTTCATCACAACAAATATCTACCGAACGAAGCTTTCGGTAACAATAATTGCAATAAATGTAAGACTGAAAATAAAAATAACCGAAACCCTTCACGCTCAAAGGTCACTGTGAATAAAATTTATTTTCAAATGGCCACATAAAAAATTGAAAATTAAGGATGTAAATTCATGTGACACTGAGCTAAAAAAAATGAAGACTTCATCAAGCAAGTTTTTTATTCTTTGTAAATTCAAGCTTGAAAAATACCAAACAAACACTGTATATCGATAAGGAAACTAAATGGTTTCCTACGTTATTCCGCCAAGCTTGCTTTAGCAAAGAAAACAAGCGTGCTCTCTGAAGTCATTATTCCCTTATGAATTCATATCTGTCTCGGTACTTTTTCCATTAGTCTGGCTACTACAGTAATCTGTTCAGTTGCTGACTACAGTCAATGCAATACTATGGAACATCCCCAAAATTCAACTTCATGTAAGTATATTTTAATTTTCAACTGCAATTGTAATAAATAATGCTCCAACATCCAACATTATTACTCAAAACTAAACACATGTAACTCTGTAATTATTTATCCCTATAAACATATCTTTAAATCGACTGATAGTATTTTAAAGCAATAACATAAAACTTCATTACTACTCACCGTCATTCTGTCGATGAATTGAGCTGAACTGATAACTCCAGTCTGCTGAGGATCCAATAGATGATATAAATCCAACAGACGCATCCCATGTCTGTTAAGGTAATTTATTAGAAAGGTTATCGCATCTGTTTTACCTTGACGGCAAGAAAAAAATTTTTATTAATTAATTTGAAGGCTTTTGGAGACTTATTAATTGATTTCAAATTGTAAACTCATCATAAACTGACGCCAGTTGGAGGAACATTAGAAACATGGGAACACTGGACACGTGGTTTGTCCCAATATGAGATTCCTCTAAAGTGCACGCCCATGACCCCACCTCCCCAGGGATTGAACCCAGGATCCGTAGATTTTTCGGTGGTCCATATTTCCAACTTCTGCCAGTTCACGATATAATGCGACCTGCATCCAATGCAATCGTTCGGTAAATATCTTCATATTCGACTTAGTTGACTTCACTAGCTACTGGCTTCGAGAGGTAACTTCTGTAGTTCCAGTGAGAAGTCTTGACCATTGGAGTCAATCAATTCGAACATAAGGACAGTTGACCAACAATAATATTGGATAAAGGCAGTGCTATATAGTGAACTGATAGAAGTAGGAAGTATGGAAAATCGAGTTCTGACCGCGTGGGTCAATGGTAACGTGCTGGTCATGGAACATGAAAGTCCTGGATTGGATCCAATGCGTAGCAGAGTCATTGGTGCACACTGTTGAGCAGTTTCATACTAGGACGAAGCAGCTGTCCGGTACTCCCAGGTTTCCAATTTTCTTCCAACTGACGTCGGTCTAGAATGAATTCAAACCTTACATTTTTATTACAGACAAACTTATTACCTAATTATCAAGTCTCGTAAAAGCTACGATCTGACCACATCAATAATTAGTTCGATGCTAAACTTCTTCGGTTACATTAGATACATGTAAATTTTTCAATAGTTTGATGCGAAAAGTATGTGAACTTAAATTTCATCAAATTTGGAGATACTTATATTGACTGATGTCATTGAAGGTTACCATTTGTTAGCATCTACAATATAGTTATTAAGGAAAACAGATTTTGAATAAATAAAGTATACTGCCAGTTTCATAATACTCTGATATAGATTGAAAACAAAAAAAAATGTCAGCAAAATAATCGAAATAGATTTTCTTCTAATAGTCAACTTGCTTATAAGGCTGAATGCTATTTGTACTCTTAGAATGCAACGCTGAACAAATAAAGCATCAAAGTATTGATCAGTGCCCTAGTTATTTTAACAAATTGTGCTTTTACTTGTAGCATAATATACCACCTAAGGAACTATACTTGAATGTATCCAACATTCATCTTAAAAACAAACATTCATATGATCGCTTGTAAGATTTTTGTAATTTAATCGTTATAAATCAACTGAAATTCGGGTATCAAATTCGGATGTTATTTAGTGAAAATTTTGGAATTCATACTGCTGACTGATAACAAATATATACTCAAAGACCAACCCCCCCCCACCCCAAAAAAAAATGTTTTTTACCCACCAATAAGGTGATTAGATTCGTCCACAGATCCCCTTCATAATCTGCTTTTATGCTTTTATGCTTTTTCGCCAATATCTATACCACCGTTAATAATTTTATACTTCATTTTCAGTTAACGAGTGTGCTTCTAACTAGGACGACCGGTGGTGGGTGTGAGGACAAATACTCAACGATAACAATGAGTAATGGTTGCTGTATACTGTGAACTGATAGAAGTTGGAAATATGAACCACTGGATTCCAACCACGTTGGCTCAATGGTGTATGCTGGCCACGGAGTCTGAAGGTGATAGGTCCGATCCTTTGAAAGGTGGGGTGATGGGTGCTCACTGCTGAGAAGTCTCACACAAGTGAAACGAAAGAGGTATACACTGCTCCCAAGTTTCTAATGTTCCTCCAACTGATATCAATTTATGACGGATACCAACTTGAAATCAATAAATCCTCACAAACCCCTAGATTTAACTTGTTATTGGTTTTTATTTTTTTCAGTTCTTGGTTTATCGTTGTCATATTTTGAATGGTAACGCACGAAAAGTGAGAACTATTTGCTTACAAGTATAAACACTACATACACTACATGGAAACTTCAATCAAATTATTACGCCTTCCTACCATTTACTATACTCCTTAAATTGTTACAAGTGATGCAGAAAAGTTTACCAATCCAAAGGAATTTCTAATTGACGTGTAAAATGATCAAATAAAATTAATTTTATTACAAACCCAGAATATGTTTCTTTTGTGTCATTTTGTAGTCGATTGTAATGATAGGCATCCTGAAATTTCGCCAAATTCTACTTTTTGTTGATCAGATGGGAATTAGGTAGAGCATTCGAAAACATATAATTCAGATGATCGTCAAAGCTTATCTTCCAAATAATCAAAGTATGCCATATCTTTTCAGCTATAAACAATGCATATGCTTGTTTGAGCTCTTCTGTTGGTCAGTGGCAAACTACGCATTGTATCACATCAGTACGGTTATCAAAAAAGCATTATTGATAGAGAAATAGCAAACAAATCTCATTTTCCCAAATCTAAAGGCTTAAATTTCATTGCATTGAGATATCTTCTGAACGTCACCTAGTTAACTAGTTCACTAGTTTCTAGCCGGTCTTAAGCCCGGATAAAGAGGGAAGGTTAGGCATAGGGCTAGCAACCCTACCCCGGAAAACCAATCCAATCTCTAAAGAAACTTCAAAGCAGAGAAAAAAATATAGAAAATAAATTTATTCCTCAGTGGAATCGGAGAGACGAAATGACGCCAGTTGATGAAAGCCTTCGGGAAGCCAATTGGCCGATGTATCCTCTCTTCTCTCGATGAAAGCAAAAGTAAACATGGGGACATGGATTGTCTGCACAATGTTTGAAGCTAGCTGGCAAGGTTGCCCAGATTGGAAAAAAGATGATAACGTTCAGCATAGAAGTGCTGGGCCAGGAATCTGCGAGAGCAGATGAAATAGAAGTGGACTCTCCAAACTGTCAACTTGAAAGGAGTCAATAATCTACTCCGATATTGTCACCCGGACGACAACCACGGGCTCACTGAGTTTTCGAGTGGCTATCACAATGTCTTCAAGAGCGTTGAAGGCTCTCTCTCATGCAGTGGAAACCAATCTCTTTCTGCATCAGGATCATGATAGCAAGATTCAACTGAAAAGGAAGGACAGTCACAGTCATACAATGCTACACGCCAACAAATAATGCAGATCATGCGGAGAAGGAGGAATTCTGCAGACGACTGCTATCAGTACTGGACAAGACCCCACCCCAGATGGCGGCATCAAAATACATTCCAATGGGTGACATGAATGCCAAACTGGGAGTGGACAACATGAGAAGAGAACTGATCATGGGTCGAGAAGCACTGGGTGAAATGAAGAATGAGAATGGAGAACTGTTTGCAGACTTCTGCGCATTCAATGACTTGTGACCGCAGGCAGTGTGTACAAACACAAATATATTCACAAGGCAGCAACAAAGACTTCACCAGACACCAGGACACAATAAAAGTCAGATCGACTTCATCTCAAAGTGAAGAAAGTGGAGATGCAGCCTACTGGACATAAGATGAAGAAGGGGAGCAGATGTAGGTTCAGACCACTCACTATCTAGTTCAAGGAACCTATCGTCAAAATCAAGTCGAAGGCCTTCACAGAAGTTGGTGTTAGACCACAGTTCAAGTTCAACACCCAGAACAGAAACTGCAGGACGAAACTACGAGGGACATCTTCACTTCAGCCATCAGGACAAAATGGGAGACATGGAGCAACATCCCTGAAGAAACCTGTGTAGAAGAACACTGGAACTCTGTGGAAGCGACCTGGAAGGAAACTCGCACAGCTGAACTAAGAAGAAAAAAGAAAGAAGACAAGGAATGGATCCCCACAAACACATGGAAGCTGATAGGGGAGAGGAAAATAGTGAAGCCGAAGATGAACCACTCCAGTGTAGTGCAGGGATGAACAACGAAAGGGGAACAGAGTACGACCTATAAAACACTACACTGGATAAAGGAGTGAAGAGGAGTGCGCGCAAAGAAAAAAGACACTTCTACGACATACTTGCAAGTGAAGCAGAACAGGCTGCTGGTAGGAGAAGCACAGACCTGACAGCACAGTTTCAAGTAACTATCTTGGAAGAGATCAGCTCGGACGAAACCAATGATAGTGAAGGAAATTTGGTTACAAAAGAGCAGAAACAAAGCAAACGATTGGCTGACCACTTCAAAAAGCTCTTGAATCGACCACAACCACAACATGCAACTCGTCCAGAAACACCCCTAGCAGTTCAGCCACAGAACTACCAGTAAACACAAGCCCTCCGTCAAAAGCCGAAGTCCTGAATGCCATAAAGGGATATTTTGTCAAACTCCACAAGGAGGAAGACCTAAGTCTTGGCAAGAACTGGGTCGGAATCATGCTCCCGCCCACCCCAAGCAAAATATTATGCCGCATCATCCTAGAGGGACTAAACAATGCTCTGGATTCACCGAAACAGGCTGGCTGGCTTCAAGAAGAACAAATCACGTGCGGACCAAATTACAACGCTACGCTACACATCATCATAGAGCAGAGCGTAGAATGCCAGTCAACTATCTATCTTAATTCAACTTCATCGATTTCGAAAACGCCTTCGATAGTGTCGACCGAGAAGTAATTTGGCAGCTGCTTCAACACTATGGTCACAGTGCCACAAACCTTCATCAACCTCATTCAACAGCTATATGCTATATGATGCTACATACCAAGCGATTGATAATTCAAAGGTCAGTGACGCCTCCGAAGTGAAGACAGTAGTTAGACAAGGTTGCTGCCTACTATCACCGACGATCCTCCTCACTGTAGTCTAGTGGACTGGATCATGCAAGAAACTGTGAGCTGTTGGAAGATGATCATACGCTTGCTGGACCTATGAAAAGACCTTAGAAGAAGATTTGGATTTGGCCGCCAATGATGATTTATGTCTAATGTCTTGTCGCACAAACTGGAAGATCTACAGGCGACAACTAATAAGTTGACAGAAGAGATGAGTTAGCAGAGATGGGACTTCGTTCAGGTGAAGACAGAGAAGACAGAGTTGACGAAGATACCTAACTAACAACAAGCTCCGATCACCAGCCACGGGAGAAATCGAAAGGAAGTTACCTCTTTCACCTACCTACCCACCTACATAGGCAGCATCGTTTCAACTATAGGTGACACTGGCACAGATGAGGACGTCAAAACAGCTAGCATCGGAGAGACAGCAAGACAAACCTTTTTTCAGTAATCTGAAATCAGCTTAGAGATCTACTGCACTGTACTGCACTCAGCATAAAGCAAGAATAACATCCGGATTTTCAGCACCAGGTCAATCAAGTCAGTGATTCTACGTAATGGTTGAGAAACTCGGTGCGTTACGAAAAGCATTTCCAACAAACTACAGATATTCATCAACAGCTGCCTCCTACGCTCACTCAATACTGAAGATCAGATGGCTAGTATAATACGAATAAGCAACATGGAACTCATTCTGGCTGGTAACAAACTAGTCAAGAACCCATCGCCTAACAAATATGCAGAAAAAAGTGGATATGGATTGGGCATACAGTGAGAAGACCATTTGTGGACAACACGTCCCAGGTCCTCGAGTGGGACCCAAAGGGGGAACGACGAGTTGGGCGTCCGAGGGGATGGTGACATGAAGAAGATGGTGTGAGAAATAGACGAAAGCTTGTGGGCAGTCGTGGAACTAGGTTAAGGAGACTGCAGAGAAGAGAGTGAAGTGGCGACGTGCTACTGAAGCGCTATGTTCCACTAGGAACCCAAGGGAAAAATAATAATAATAATAATAAAAATATCTTCAGATTAGGGTTTCGCATTACTAATCGGTAACCGAGGGAATACTACATCAATGATTCACAATAACCGTAAAGTAGAAATGACGATATCGTATTGTTTGGTTTTATTTAAGTCTATAAATTCCAGCTTGTTTATCTACGTAACTGGGACTTTAGTCTACATGAGATGAAAGAGCTTAGTAACTCACTGTACTTTCCTCGACGAGGTTCCCACCTGATACAACCGGTAGCTTTAAGCGTAAAGCTGCGTCGAAGGCCAATACGATATACTTGCTGTGAAATATTTTCATTGATTGTTAGACCCTAGTTCAAAGGTAAAAATGTGAATAAAAACTACTGATCGGTGTGTTTTGAACTGAACATTTACTTATAGATGAAAATAAAATTAGGCATTTTATGAAATTTTACAAATGTTTTCTTTTGCTTCAGAAGTAGACCAAAAACATGAGAGAAAAATATTCTACTTCTATTAACAATGTTACTATTTGAGGGAAGACTACTCAATTTATCAAAAAAGTTAATGCCTCTTGCTGATAGTAATTAGCATTCGATCATGCCGGTCACTTAAATCCTAGAGGAAATTCCACTTTTTTTAAGTAAAAGCTTTTCGCATCAATCAACTCAAATACAATCAGGAAAGTAAGGATTTTCCTTCTCGATCCTCAGCAGTGTCCACCCTTCACACCTCCTAGCAAGGGACGGAACACGACCTTCAGGTTCCTTGGCCAGTACGTTAACATTGAGCCATTTGGTTGGAATCCAGTGATCCATATTTCCATATTTCACAATATACCGCAACCACCACTTAGTGTCATCGTTGAGTATTTATCCTCACATCCGACAAGTTTCCCCCACCGGTCACGACTTCTCATTAGAACTTCAGGAATCACCTGTCTACGCTAGATCGTTTGCAAATAATGAAATCAGCTCACTGGTATCTAGTTCATGATGATGAGATTTAGAAGAATTGATTAGAAGTCTTAGTAAGTAATATTCAAATCCCAGTGGAACTAAAACAAGAGAAGTTTGCGAACTAATTAAAAGCGAATTATGAATGAGATTCCGCTCTTAACAGTTGGTCAACACAGTGCTTTTTAACGAAGGATGCTAAAATAAACTTGTATTAAAACAGTAGTCAGAATCTTCTAATTCCCTTTGATTAAAACGATAAATTTACATCATACCTTTTAGTCAGTAATGACATGACACTACTAACCATGTCAGCTTACGGTTTTATGCATTATTAAGCACTTAGATACTGAACATAAATCAAACTGAATAAATATAACGTACTTCCAGATCTAATTCTTCAAGAACGCATGTCGTCGAATTCTCAATCACATTAATTAGTTCATGTATCCCAGCCATTGTTAATGGATTTAGACCAAGCTAAAAAAGTTTCCAAACAGAAAATAACAAGAAAACAGCTACAAAAATTAATTTCTAATCAGAACAGTAGTTTATAGAACGATTTTTATAATAAGTGAAATTCGAAAGTATTTTTCATCAGAAAATCTCATGACTAAAATTGTAGAGCATTATCATCCTTGTACATATTAACAACGCCAAAGGTTTTAAGGTTAAACGGACTTTAAAAAACAGGAGTTTCTCTTCAAGGAAGACCTGAGCAGGTGATTTCACTTTCGCTTATTATAAGGATATACAACCAGATAACCATCCCTAACATACACAGGTATCCAAGAAGTTTCACTCTGCATAACTATTGAAGCATAACGCCATATGCATCTTGTATTCCCTACCTGTTGTTGGTGCTACCTAATTTAAAACATTTTTCCTCAACTCATCCTGATATTTTCTTCTGGTAAACTTTAGCAATATAAAACCTTCTGAGTATTTCAAGAGTTTCATGTATAACCTGAATAGACTATCGAATCACTTCACACAATTAATTATTTACAGATACTTACCCTCAATCTTTTCAACATTTTATTTGTGTACAAGGAATCAGCAAATGTGATAACACCTTTCAAGTCAATACGATTGCACTTCAAATTTAATTCTTCCAAATGACAATTACGCGTTAAGCCTCTGCCAAGATTTTCGAGACTTTTACCAGTAAATCCATTCCAAGATAGATCCAGATATCGAAGTGAAGTATTAAACTTTAGATAAAAAAAATATTTAAAAATCATTCACAACTTTTAACTAAACAGATTTCAGCTTGGTATTCATCATAGACTGATATCAGTTGGAGAAACATTGGAAAGCTGGGTGGCACTGGACAGCTGCTTCGTCCTAGTATGGGACTCCTGGGTAGTCCTCACAAATAACCCCACCACATTTCATTAGTGAATTTGTATTTGTAGTCACCTAGTAAAGTGGCTACCAAATATCTGAGACACAATCAGTCTTGTAAACATATGTCAATATACTGACCTGTTAGGACGAACAGAGCAACTAAAAATCCATGGTGTAGTATTCTTCAAGGGAGACATTATCCAACTCGTTTTTCACAGCTTCATAGTCGTTTTCAATAAGGAGACTTTCAAAAGTAGCACACATTACAATCAAGTTGTCTACAGATCTCTGAAGTTGAGTAATAATCAGTGCCTTCTCAGAACTGTAATATGAAAAGTTCCTAATACGGGTATTTTTGTGCGAGTGAGTGCATGTTCAGATACGTTAGTTGGAGACAACTGACAGAGCCCTGCATGACATTAACTTCTCCATTTTTGACATTCGTCAGCAAGGCGTATACTCAACCTTGGTGGCACTCATGTCTCATTTGAGATTCGGAACCATGTCATCCTGTGCCACAGTCAGCTATGTTACCAATGAGCTATTCGGACCATGACTGACCTCTTGTAGGACTAGACTGCATACACTGAACTGACCTGTCACTGGAAAGCAGCCAGTCTCATGTTGTCTAGTCCTGAGTGTTGACCATGTGTAGGGACTTCCGGCCGATTTTACCCAAATAACTGACAGCCATCAAAGTGCACCGCTATGATGAGCCACCTAACTTGGAGGCTGCATTGTAAAATGATTGATAGAATTAAGACTAGACAACAGGAGAATGGATGCTCTGCAGTGATCAATCAATATACATGTTCAGTCTTTACACAACATAAAATCTATCACAGTTGATAAGAGGTTGAGTGATTTTTGTGAAGTTTCTGAACAAACATTTAAGATAAACAAGAACAGAGTTGGTCTCACAGATTTGAAATGACTTTTTGTAGTTAACAGGTGGAAAAATGAATAAATTAAAAGTCCAGACTGCAAATAAAATAACATCATCAAAGTAGTCAGTATTATTATTGTATAAATTTGCTTGTTCATGAAATCCCATTGAACAAAGTTTTACAATCGTAGCCTTGCTTTCTTTCATAGGAATGGGAATAGGCAACAAAATCAAGTTATTAAAAGTTAAGAAATACTCATTGCAGTTCAACTTACTTCCAACATATTACCAAATTCATAGGCTCCTTTTGAAGATAACTTGTTCCAATGCAAACTGACCCATTCCAGACTTAATCTATTGCCTGCATGTTATATGAAATGAAAACTCTTTATTATGAAGTAGAAGCTCACTCATTGCTTTGGCTAATTCATAACCTCCATCTGACATAATGTTATTCCTTGATAGATCTAATTTTGTTAGGCGTGTATTCATCTGCAAAACACAAAACGTCATTATGCAAACTGTGATATTTTATGAGTTGTACTGAAATCAAAGTATGCTTTTACGAACCCGAAATGATCTAGACATTAGAATCATACAAAAGCCTGAAGCAAGAAACTCTGTATCCTAAACAAAGATTTATATTTAGCTTTATGATTTCTGAACCATGACTGGTTACTGTTAAAGTCAATTCTCAGAATAGAAGTTAATTATTTTGAAGAACTGACAACGATAATCGAAATAGAACTGAAATAAACAAAATTCTGGTGCCATTCTATCTCATTGTGAATACATTCCACAAACATTCAAAGGACTTTCAAGACGAGACTGATTGCAACGCAATCTGTACCAAACAACATCCTCAAGATAATGAACCAAGCAAGTAGCTTATACATTCTAACGTTTGTTCAAGTTGTTTCCCTCGAATTCCCCAAAAAACTGCATGTATGTTCTAGAGAAAGATGTTATCAGTCGTTTCTCGGTGAAGCTACTTCCAATGGATTACACTTTTTACATTGAGTGATGACTGAAAGTGGAATGGAGATTCGGAGCAGTGCCGGACTCGAAGCAGCGACCACTGTGTTTCCTGGCCAATGCCTTCTACCAAATGAACTGTGAGGTCCGACTGCTGATCACATGTTTATTTGGATTAGGGTGACGAACACACTATGATCACACCTGTGTTAATCAAATGATCCGATTCGGTATTTGGAACAACAGAACTGTGTTTATAATGTAGACTGTAGCTAATTCGATCCCATGTACTTAAGAGGACATGACGTCGAGTACCAACACATGTAGCCTAACACGGTTGAAGTTACAAGAAACCACCAAAATATTCCTATGACCTAGAGAACCTTGAAAAAATCTGTGGCATCGTGGTTCATGCCTTATATTCAGTTCATAAAATATCATTTGAAAAGACAGACGTCATGCAAAATTGTTTTCCTTCTCACAAACAGTGGGCTATTACCGAAGCTTTGCACATGTGTTCGTACCCTTCTACGGTCAACATAAGAGATGAGTTAGACATCCCACAAATATGGCAAACATTAATGACTCGTATAGGCACTTGTAAATAATATATGATGAGAAAGTGGAACATAATTATTTCATTCCACATGATTCATTCCCAATTCATTCTTGCTTGAATAGTTTCCGATGTTATTTCGCTTAATCGTCTTAATCACTGTCAAGAAATGTTGATTGCATTTTAACAGCTTGTCTATTCCTACTGCATAACACTTCATTGATCTACTGTTTCCCTCAGTTTTACGCTTCTTTTTGAGTTATATACATTCCATGGACCATTCCATATATTCCATAATGCATTTTATTATCGTTCATACTTCAAGTAATATCAAAAGTACCTTTATCGTTATCATTATTTTTATGTATTTATTATATATTGTCCGATCTTCAAATATTCATCCTTCCAAACTAGTAATCTATTCTTTTTCACTCCAGATGTCTCAGAACCCCACTGTACTTTTCATAGACGAATTTAAACATTTTTCCCCGCCGCATTTTTGTTCCACCATTACTCGCACAACGCAAATAAGCCTCACTGATCGATATGCTTATTCACTCACCTTGATTACATTGATCTTTGCTCCATATCACGATGTAACTGGATGGTCGTAAAGGTCACCACCCTATGTACAAAAACTTGAATATTTACCTGAAAACTTAATGTCAGTTTCATACTCTTGAAAAGAATCTCCCTAGCAAGATTGAAACGTTGAAGAATTATACAAAATATTTGTTTATTTTGTTATTTGTTTTAATATACTACGCTGGGATTACACAAGTAAAAATACAGCTTATGAGATGAACTACATCATGTTAATTTTGATTAACAGATAGTTTCAGATCAATCAATGAAATAAAGTCCGCTTACAACAAATCTCCTAAGCTTTTCTTTCCAGTGATTTCAGGTTTAAGAAGTTTGAATTATATCCGACTACCACCTTATTGGTTGTTGTTATTCTCAGATCATGGTGGATTAAAAGCATTGGTGGAAAATGGCATGAATATTTTGCTTTCTGTATGATCCATAATAAATAAAAAAATTTTTAAAGGTACTTTTCTAAGAAAGGTATTAAGATAGTTATTTAGCATGCATGATGAGACATTTATTCATTTCCTAAAATTCAGAAAATAATATTTAGGAATTTCGTGGTTATGAGTTTGCATGATGAGTCTTGAGTATCAGTCTACCAACGTTCAACTAATTACTTAATCTTCAGCGTAATCTTTGTGTATGAGTATATCTGTTAATATGCATGCAGCTGTTCTAAGTAATACTTTCATATTTAACTCCAAAAATGTGTTCAGTAAAATTATTGTTTGATAAACAAGTTCGTTAATTAGTTAAGCTCCCTTTTTGCTATGGTTGATAGTTTGCAACATTTCTACAAACATTTTAACCCTCCATCCAGTGACTATCAAAAATACACCATCCATGTTATAGTTTCACTATGAAATCGTCTCAACATAATGCAGTCATACAGAATGGTCACAGGAGAGCAACTAATCGCATGTTGTCTAGTCCTGAGTGCATACAGAATCCCATCGATCATATTTTGTAATGTGAATCTCAGACGGGACATCAGCTCCGTCGAGGTTGTATATATGAGTGTCAACAAGCTCGGAAACTAGGTCCGACTGACTCCAAGCAACTAACCTTATATAGTTGTAGTGGTTATTTAGTTTGATGATTGTTACCATGCAAATGCACTGATTTCCCTAAACTAAAAACAAATATTCAAGGAGGTAAATACTTATATGCCGACGAAAAACATACGCTGAGTTACAGTTCTCAGACTACTGATAAAGGTCGAGGTTAGTAGTATTAATTGTAGGCGTAAAATTGTCACCAATTAGATCAGATCTCATCTGGGATCTCTTGACTACTTTTTCAAAACTGTACGAATCTAATAAATTCTATGCATACAATATCTGTCATTATTCTTTGATCTTTTAGTACATAGTACACAGTTAAAATTGTTGAACTAGACTATCCAATATAATAATCCCTAATTTTGAACTTTGTATTTTCTTCTCAGGTCTCAATTATTAGTTACGTAGCTGAAATTCATAGTTAACGGATTTCACATATTTTAGGTGAATATTCACTTAAATTGTTAAAATGAAAAAGCAGTGAACTTTGACAGAATTGACTGAATCATTTCTGAGTTACATTATTTGATAGTTTATTGTTAGGAAACAAACGTGCTTCACTTTATCATCTATTCTAATCATCACTTCTAGGGTTATTTCATGAAATCTTTGTATAACTGAAGGTTTTTTGGTTATTTTGATCCTGTAATTGTACGCCTGTAGCCTAGCCAATGAAATATGTAATCCTCTGCATATTGAAGCATATCTTAATAGGTTCACGTGATTTTCCAATGTTGATAAACTGTGAATACAACTAAATAATCATGTCATCTTTTACAGGAATAACTACAATTAATGTTAATATATACTCACTATTCTTGATACTCAGCTTTCGATCATGAAAACAAGTCATTATGCTAGTTTTGGACAGTTGGGAGAAACATTGGGAACTTGAAAGCACTAAACGGCTATTTCGTCTTAATTTGACACTCCTCTGCAGTCCATACCCATGACTCCACACTTCAGGGATCGAACCGAGAATCTTCAGGTTTCGTAGCCAGAATGTTACCAGTTAGCCAGTGGGTTTGAATCCACTGGTGCATATTTCCTGTTTCTATCAGTTCATGACATAGCATGACCATCAACCAATATCATCCTAGAGTATTTAAACCATACTAGGACGAGATAGCTATCCAGTGCTTCCAAGTTTCAAATGTTCCTCCAACTGATGTCACTTCATGATGAATATCAACCTGAAACCAATAAATAAATCATCATGAACCCCAGAATCGAAGTATATAATTTCTTGATGAAATGCACAGAACCTGCTAAAGCGTAACCACTAACACCTAATACGAAGAAATTGACTTATTGACTACTTTTGAAAGTTTCTTCTACTACACAGTTTAATCTCATATTGAGATAAATCAGTTTATTAGTGATCATTATAGGCCAATTGGAACTCTAGTTTTCAGTATAATAGCACTAATGAATGTAGTTAAAATTACTATGTTAAGACATCATCACTATGGCATAGTTGCTTACTGGCAAGTTTTGAATTCATTAACGACTACTTACACTATCAAAGTATAAGATTTATTTTAAAGAAAGTTTTGTTAAAAGTCATTCAGCAACCTATAAGAGAATATTTTGTGAAATTAAAAATACCAATATTTATATGTGAATAACTCCAACTTCGAAAAACTAGGAACCAATTATTTCTCAATAAGGAAAACGCTTGTCTACTTTCAAAATATCTTATTTTTGACTGAGTACTACTGTGATTAAGCCTAGTTGTGCTGTCATAAGTTTCATGGTATCATAATTACTCAAAGGCCATCTTGAAATAAGTGTGTGGATTGAAATAAACAAGTGAACTTCAGGAATACATATCCAATTGATGAAAGAAAATAACTCCTAAAACAGTTTAATGGGCACATAGTACGAAATTATTAAATAGTTAATGGATATCATCTACTTGAATATGATTAATTTTCAGGTATATCAAATCCAGTTCAACATTCGCCAACAAATCGAGGACTTAATTTAAACAACCAAAGATGAACTTATGGCCGCATGACTAATCGTTGTTATTTTTACCCAGAGTTATTGAGATTAAAATTGCTTGTCATGGTTGATGATAGCTTTGTATACATAACATGCGCTTCATTCATGGCATTTTATGCCGACTTAGTAATCCATAAGTTGATCTGTGTTCTTACCTAGTACTCTACTTCTAATCTCAACATCCTAGTCTTTGTCGTTCCAGTGAGCACAAGTAGTGCTATAAAGATTACCCTGTATTTATTCTCATTCCAAAGATCAAATCTGATAATTGCGTAGTGGAACACAAAGAACCGTTGACACTGCACTTATTTATTGAGAAACAGTAGAATATCCTTACTATGCTGCATATTGTAAATTGATAAACTTTGTAAACCTAATGCATCCATAATGATATTTACTCAGAAATCAGCTAAATACAGTAAAATGACGTTTGTTGATTCACTCACTTTACACCCTCATCGCATACATACGGTTGATGCACAACAGTCTTTCAGTGTGATATGACATCTGCTCTTTACGAAGCATTTGAAAACACAAGCACATAATAATCTAAAACATTCAAAATACTCTATACCTTGTAATTGCTGACGCCTAGAAAGATCAGATAGTCAGTATATTCTAAGTCAGGTAGATGCCATTCGTCTTAGAAGTAATTCTTAACCAAGTCATAATGAACTACAACCACCACTGACTAGACGTGTGATGTTTTCATCTTAAATGATCAAAAGCTCCTTTATTTTTTAAATAAATCTTTGTTCACTTCATCCTTGAGTATCGCCTTGACTTTTATTTGTAAAATGTAGTATATAATAATCCTGAAAAGGCACATTTATGAGCAATCAGTTGCATAAACGTGCAAACTGGAACTGGCATATGATCAAATTGAAATTAAGAATAGCGAGAAGATTAGGATTTCTGCTTCAATCCTCTGAAAAGATGATTAATGACAAAACGATATGTCTGTGTTTATCATTGGCTTGACGTTGGCAACTATCAGGACAGATGATATCTCTTTCTATATTTGAGGTCAGTGTTTTTCTCATGTGTAGTCGGCTAGCAAAAGATAAATTTCAGACTAAGACCATCTTTACTAGATTGTCACAATAAGACCAAGTGAAACTTCGGAAATGCTCCTTCTACTGCCTGAATTTTTATACCAATATTATCAAAAATGTTGTCAGCTGGCTTTTTGACAAGGTGAACAGCTTGTAAGAAAGTTCTTCACACTGTCAAGTCTGAAACTGCTGGCTTCATTGGTGGAGATCCTACACAGTTATTAATGTATATTATAGTCCATTCACCCAGATTGTACAATTTTGGTATTAGATGAGATTCAGAAAATGAGAAGAAAGTTCGATATTCAATGCAAAGTATACCCTTTTCTAGGGTTTAGTTGGAATAAAGCCTAGCTAAAATGCTGATAATTTTAGAGAAAAACTTTAACGCCAATAAACCCTTATTCAGGAAGAATTACGACAATGATCTCAAGCTTCTATTTTTGTGTATGTCATATCTGATTTGTCGTCAACCAAAAAAGAATTCTGTCATGATAGAACATTGAGGAGAAACTATTTCAGCCGGCATCGTTGTTAAATCCATTCATTACATCAAGTTAGCAGCTGTTCATCAGCATCCCTCACCTGTGCCACATAACTTCTGTTTATCGGTCGATTGAAATTCTGGAAACATCATCCCAATATTAAAAAATTATCACAATAACTTACTCGTAATCCATTAGCAATCATGACCGCACATTCATCATTTATTCCTGTATCTAAAAATCAGTTTAAGTATACTTTATTATCCTTTATAAACAAAGCGACAGAATAATTTACTTAGTTTTCGCAAGCAGAAGAATCTATAACACTCGTTTCGTCCTATTTGGGACTCATCAGTTGGATGTGCTCGCACCTTAGTTAGTGATATTGTTCCCACTGAGACTCAAACCACCTAACCATCACTTCTAACGCCAAAGTGTAATCCACTAGGTCATTGAGACATGTTGGCCACCTCTTGTGTGACGGGTATTAGTTATTAGTATTTGCTGATTTGTTTGGAATTCTTCGTTGTTTTGCTAGACCGAAATGTTCCTAACAGGACGAAACGTGGGCCCTGGATTCCTCTGGTAGCCACAACGAAATGAATTACTGTAATAAATATTCAGGAGGTATTGAGGCATCCACGTAGAAGCCTATATGCCAATAGAGGTCGTACACTTGCATCCAGTAAAACAAAAGTGAATTACAAGCATATCTATAAATAGTAGTGACAGAATAATTAGAATCAAGGAACATTATCATGTGAAAATGAAGTTATATTACTTAGTTAATACCACCGTTACGATTTAGATCAAACTAACTGAAGGAGAATATTATTTTCTCAGGAGATTTCATAATAAATCCAATTTATTCAGAACCAAGGAGTATAAGACAAATATTTTGCTTTAATATCCAACTTCATAGTACCAAACCCCTACGAAGTTTCAGAAGTCGAATATACTAAGCTATCGAATTCCAACTAATTTAATGTTAACATGTTAGCTTCAGAAACTAGCAGTCAATGACTTTCCTTATGGGAGGGTGGGCGTTGCAATGCTGAGTAGTTTCAAACAATAATTAAATAGTCTTCTAGTGCTCTATACTTTTCAGTGGTTTTACATCTTATACAGACTTGAGAGAGAAACATCATTTAAAAAAGCTTACTTAACTATGAACCTCCAAATTAAATTAATTTCTAATGCATTTCGATATCTGTGATTATTTCCCCTAAAGTTTGTTTAAACAATCTGATTTTAATATGGAAATATATTTCATCTTTCAGCAGGAGTTTCCTTCTGCAGTAAAATATTAAGTAAACCCTGAAAAGTATACCGACTATAACCAAACACTAATCTGATCGTAGACTTTATCAAAGCAGAAAATGATGAGATCTTTTTCACTGACATTTTGAAAACGTCTTCATGATGTGTTGGTACACATGAATTATGCTGTTACATAATATGAGTCAATGACAGGAAGCTCATAATTTAGACTCCTTACTTTTGGGCACTCATCACCAAATGGTATCTGTGACTATGAGGTAAAATGTTATTCTGTCGGTGATTCGAAACTACTTTACTCAGTGCTGGTGACCAATTCGCATACATATATGCGAGTTTCCTAAATCCATCTACTTCCAGTTCATTCATTCCCATCTCTTTTACAGTATCGATGATAAATTCCATTAAAATAGTTTGGTTGTCTCATTAATTATAAGTAAATTTCAAAATAGCTTGTTATTCGACACTGAAAAGTGTGTTTACAAACTATTTCTAATTTAGTGATAGATTACAAATCTGATCTTAAATAAAATTTTTATTGAAATACAAAACAAATATAATTAATTTACCCTTTAATATCAAAGTGTTCATGTGAGTATTTTTCGATAATATTGATTGTATAAGTGAATAGGCCTCTTGATTTAATGAATTACCTGAGAGATTCTATGAAATAATGAAAATAGATATGAAGAACATTGAAGCACAAAATAATAAATGATGACTATTTGATTCTCATAAAAAACATCTAGATTATTCGGATAACATTTACTTATCCGATCGTTTTTAAAAACATCGTTTTAAAGAAGCTTTCTACACGTTATAGAAACATAGAATACAAAATCTGTTGAAATTAAAATGGTACAAAAACTAGGAAAGATTTTCTTGTTATTTTGTGGGTTATTCTAAAAACTTATGGGATGATAAAAAAAATCAGGAGGTTTGTCAAGATTTATTAATTGATTTCAGGTTGAAATTCTTCATGAACTGACATCAGTTGGAGGAACATTGGAAACCTAAGAGAACTGAACAACTTTTTTGTCTTAGTAAAGGACTTCTTAGCAGTGCATACCCATGACCATCCACCCAAGACCTTCATGTTCCGTGACCAGCACGTTACCATTGAGCCAGTGGGTCAGAATCTATTGGCGCATATTTCCTACTTTCACCAGTTCACGATATAGCGCGACCTCCATTCAGTGTCATCGTTGACTAACTGTCCTCATCTTCAACTTGGTTTGCTCCACTAGTAACAACTTATCATTGGAGCTACAAGAATTACCTCTCGAAGCTAGTCACTAGTAGAGTCAACCAAGTTGAATATGAGGACAGTTATTCACCGACAGCATTGGACGTACGTTGTACTATGTCATGAACTGACAGAAGTAGGAAGTATGTACCACTGGATTCGGCCCAGTGGCTCAATATTCCTCCAAACGATTCCAATCTGAAGAAGTAAGACAGTTAGTTCACAAGTTTTTCATAGAAAAAGCAGCCATATACTCCTTGGTGATTTTTTGCTAGTAACTAATCAAAGTTTAAATCGATAAGAAATCCAAATGTCATGTGTTCAAATGTTATTCTCCCGTTAGACTCCTAAAAGCTAACACCCGTATTACATTCTTAAACCAACTTTTGCACCCTATGTTAATTCTGAAACTAGCTGTTTTTGTAACACAGTAATGATTGGTTTTGGATTTCGTTCTTTTGTTTATAATTTCTGTCGTAAACATGATCTACATCACAACCGCACCATATAAAAATTACAATTTTCTGGGTATACAGTTCAAAATTACTCGCTCTGTTCTCCGAAGGTGGTCAACTATAAAGCCAGGTAAAGATATAGGTTCACGACAACTGAAGAAACAACCAAAGTTATCTGGTGAATTTCTTAAGAATATGCAAGACAGAAAGTTTCTGTTTTGTTAGTCAACTGTGTATGTTGTTAAAAATACATTCGAAAGCTACGGATAACACTAAAGGGGCATTCATTGTCACAAGATTATGGAAATGCAAACTGCATAAACTATGACTACAATTGACAGCTAGCCGAACCACGATACTTTAAAAGGAAAAACAAAAAACTTTGTGTGGAAAAAGAGTAATTTTAGGACTGTAGTATGATGCATTAAAAAGGGAGAATTGCAGAATATTTCAAGTTTTTCAGTTATAGTGTAGTGGGTCCATTCTAATTTGCAAAGCAACAGAGTTCTGTATCAAATCAAAGAAAAATCTAAGTCATATTCATCGTGGTAACTAGCAGTAGAATCCAGAATGCGTGTGTTTGTCCTGTTTGGGGCTGATCAACTGGATGTACCTCCAGCCCAGTTAATGATGATGTTCCCATCGCTTTGAACGCTAAAGCGTTATACACTAGGTCACTGAAATTCGATCCTGTATGAACAGTGTCACTCAGTGGGCTGCCGGTGCATCAAGGTGATGAGTCTCGAAGGGGACCAAAAGCGTTTCCTGGATTCCAATACTAGTCACTATCATGAATGTCCGGCAGTATCGAGGCATCCGTATATCAGCCCATCTGCTAACAGAGGTCAAGCAATTCGACCCTGTGTAGCAACAGGAAGTTACAAGTGTCAAATCAAAATTTTAAATCAATACATCCATTTTTAGTATTTCTTACTCTGAACCTGATGCACATGTGGACGTTTTTAGAAATATGTGAAAATCCAATCCAAAAGAACGAAATAACAAAATTTCAGGATATATGCAATATCCAAATAGTGGACGATACAGCGTTCAATAAGCAGACTTCGTTTAATGGAACAGTTCACTCACATATATTCTAGGGCTTAGTATCAAGGAATATCTTTGAATACACAGATCTAAAAGACTGACTTAAGATCTTAAGTTTATGTAAATGTTCTGACAGGATTGTAAACAGTAATCTTGGTATCAGGAACTTGAAATCCAGTCTAGGTGTATGAATTCTCGCATCATGTAGATTCGAAAAGATCTGGCGTGACAATCCATCTTTTCGTACAACATTGGCTTCATCAACCCCTCTTCATAAGAAGCATCTTTGTGAACTGAATATTGTCAGCATCCGGTGCCTTTAAAGAATATAGGTTCGACCTTGCATGACTACAGCAACGGTATGCCGTATAATGACTCTGTTCTTAGCCAAACAATATCATAACTATTACAATCTCTTGTGAATTCAGCAAGATGGTCATGTTTGAGGAAATGTTGATACTATAGCTCAAACCGAAGAAGACTAAATTCACGGTTGAATACTCTTTGAAATTTTTCGACAAGCGTCATAGTCTCCAAATCAGCATAACAACGAATTCATGAATCTATGTTAGTCATATAACATTTTTTCTGAACTACCTATATCTTAACTCACTCAAATGATCCTTAAATGGGAAACTAAAATGTCTCCTCTGTATATACTTATTATACAATACAGATTTGTCACTGATATTATCAGGAAACAAAACGAGTAATTAGAGATACTTAACTGTTGGCTGTTGTACAGAGTTACTCAAGTAGTCACTAAGCAGCATCGATGAAACCGTTAAAGTCTACAGTTTCATTCCATATAATCATTCCAGTGACCATATATAGTGTAAAAAATGTTCTTTGTTTACTCCAAATTTATCGGAGGTTAGTAAATAATATTCCATTGGGAAAATGCTTACATTGTCAATAACAACTTACAATTTTTGTAACAAATGCAAATTTATCCAATATCGATTTGACCAGAAGTATTCCATCATTTTCAAAGTTGTTATAACTAAGATCTAATTGTTCCATTTCATAACACTCCTGTGTCATTACATAGCGTAATAAAAAATAATTAAGTAGTATTTGTGAATTTGTTTATTTAAGCATGTATATATATGGTTCAGAAACTTGGCTTGTCACAGAAAAGCATTTCCAACAAACAACAGACATTCATCAACAACTCCAACCTACTCTCACCCAATACTGAAGATCAGATGGACAGAATAATAAGAATAAGCAACAAGGCACTCACTCTGGCCTGACAACCAATCAACCAAGAACCTATTACTCAACAAATATGCAGACGAAAGTGGAGATGGGTTGGGCATATGCTGAGAAGGCCGATTGGGGACATCATGCAACAGGCCAGACCTGGCCATCGAGTGGAATCCAAAGGGGAAACGACGAGTTGGGCGTCTGAAGTGAGAGTGACATGGAGAAGATGGTGTGAGGAAGAAATGAAAGGTTTTGGGCAGTCGTGGGGGCAGGTGAAGCCAGACTGCATGGAAGAGAAGAGAGTGGAATGGAGGCGTGCTACTGAAGCCCTATGTTCCATTAGGAACCCAAGGGAAAAAAATAATAATGATAAAAGCGTCCAATTTAAAGCTCAATATTTATCCATCGATTCATGTACCCCTATTTCTGTCTATTCCAAAAGATTTCAATACTATCTGAGAGTCATTTTGACATGGTGTGCAGAAATATTGACAAAATCTTTATAAGATACCGCAGATACTTGGAACCTTCGCTTCGAAATTTCGGGAAAAACATGTGGACTAACGTAGAAGCATAAGATTGGTTGAAGCAGCAAAAATTAAATAGGATTTAAATCTAGAAAGACCTGGAAATACCTAAGGCCATGGTAATATATAAAAACCTTGTAAATTTGTTTATATTGTGGATGTTACAGTTGATAGTGTAAATACACCATCTGTTCTATTACCACATTAAGGGTAGAATCTGGAGATGTTTGTACATGCGTCCATATTTTCATAGTTCGGCTCTGTCAAGTTACTGTAGAGATATAAAATGCAGCGACTGGAGCTATATAAAATATTTATTTGTCTTAACAGGCCGCATTTAATGACTAGTTTTGCAAATTTATAATGGCACTGTTTCGAGCAATAAATATTCAATAGTTTTACAGTATGTTATCTGATGAAAGTTTAGTATTTTTACGGACATGCATGAGGCCCAAATCAAGGTGTTTAATTCAGATGATAATCTACAGAAATATTATGCTGATGAGTTCTATTTACGGCAAAATCCGTGTTTCGAACTTTTATTAGGTTGTTTATTAATTCCAAGTTGAGTTTTTGACAAGTTATCACCGTGTGATGAATATGGAAATTGTGATAATCTATAAAAAATACCTTTGCCTGTTTATATTGTCCTGAAACTACACGCAGAGTTAACAGGGATTATGGTTCATATTCATATCATCTGAAATGAATATGGACAATAAATTATGTCCAAAATTATTATTATTAGTCCCTTGGGTTCCTAGTGGAACATAGGGCTTCAGTAGCACGCCTCCAGTGACCTCTGTTCTCTGAGATCTTTTGAACCTGGTTCCACGACAGCCCAGAAGCTCTCATTTCCTCCTCGCATGACCTCCTCCATGTCACCCTCGGACGTCCAACTCGTCGCTTCCCATGGGGATTCCACTCGAGGGCCTGACGCGTGATGTCCTCAGTCGGCCTTCTCAGTGCATGGCCAATCCATCTCCACTTCTTCCTGCATATTTGTTGCGTGATAGGTTCTTGGTTGGTTCGTTCCCAGAGTTCCTTGTTGCTTATTTTTTCTGGCCATCTGATCTTCAGCAGCGAGCGTAAGCAGTTGTTGATGAATGTCTGTAGTTTATTGGAAATGCCTTTCGTGACGCGCCAAGTCTCTGAGCCATACAAGAGCACTGACTTGACGTTGGTGTTGAAAATCCGTATCTTGTTCCGCATGCTGAGTGCAGAAGATCTCCACACTGGTTTCAGGCTAATGAACGCCTGTCTTGCTTTTCCGATTCTGACTTTGACGTCCTCGTCCGTCCCGCCTGTAGTTGAAACAGTGCTTCCTAGATAAGTGAAGGAGGTTACTTCCTTCAAGTTTCTCCCGTTGACGGTGATTGGAGTTTGTTGTTGTTGTTGATGGTGGTGGTGCGGTATCTTCATCACTTCTGTCTTCTCTATATTCACCTGAAGTCCCGTCTTAGCTGCCCTGCCTCTTCTATCAACTTGTTAGTTTTTGCCTGCAGATCTTCAAGTTTATGTGACATTAGGCATAAGTCATCGGCGAAATCCAAGTCTTCTAGGTTCTTTTCCGTCGTCCAGTGTATCCCCCTCTTCTCGCTGCCTACTGTTTGCTGCATGATCCAGTCCACCACAATAAGGAATATCATGGGGGATAGTAGGCAACCTTGTTTCACTCCTGTCTTCACTTCAAAGGCATCACTGAGCTTCCCATTGTGGATTACTTGGCATGTGGCATCTTCATATAGTTGTTGAATGAGGCGGATAAAGGTTTGCGGTACTCCGTAGTATTGAAGCAGTTTCCAAATTACTTCTCGGTCGACGCTGTCAAAGGCCTTCTCAAAGTCGATGAAGTTGAGGTAGAGAGCTGATTGCCATTCTACGCTCTGTTCTATGATGATACGAAGCGTTGCAATTTGGTCAGCACATGATTTGTACTTCCTGAAGCCTGCCTGTTCCGGTCGCAGTTTTGAATCCAGTGCGTCTTTAAGCCTCTCCAGGATGATGCGGCTTAATATTTTACTTGGGGTGGACAGGAGAGTGATTCCGCGCCAGTTCTTGCAAGCACTGAGGTCTCCCTTCTTCGGCAGTTTGACAAGGTAACCCTTCTTCCAATCGTCAGGTACCTTCTCTTCCTTCCACACCTTCTGCAATAGTGGTGTGAGCATGTCCGCTGTTGTCTCTGCATCTGTTCTCAGTGCTTCTGGCGGTATTCCATCTGGTCCTGCTGCTTTCCCGCATTTCAGTAGCTTTATGGCGTTCAGGACTTCCATTTTCGTTGGGGGATTTATGTTCACTTGTAATTCAGCGGCTGCAGGTGGTATTTCTGGACGAAGTGCAGGTGGTGGTCGATTCAAGAGCTTCTTGAAGTGGTCGGCCCATCGTTTCCTCTGTTTCTCTTCTTTTGTAATTAAATTTCCTTCTTCATCTTTTATTGGTTTCATCTGTGTTGGTCTCTTCCCTGATAGCAACCTGGTTATTTGATACAATGTCGTCAGGTCTCTCTTACCTGCAGCCTGTTCTGCTTCACTTGCCAGTGTGTCGTAGAAGTGTCTTTTGTCTTTGCGTGCACTCTTCTTCACTTCTTTGTCCAGTGTTTTATACATTGTGCTCAGTTCCTCTTGTCGTTGAGCATCCTTGCACTGGTTTATCTTCTGCTTCACCATCCTCCTCTCCTCTATCAGCTTCCAGGTATCCGTCGAGATCCATTCCTTGTCTTCTTTCTTCTTCCTTCCTAATACTGTTGTGCAGGTTTCTTTCCACATAGCTTTCAAAGACTTCCAGTGTTCTTCCACACAGGTTTCTTCAGGGATGTCCCTCGATGTCTCCCATTTTGTCTTGATGGCTGGCTGTTTGAAGATCTCCTTTGTAGTTTCATCCTTCAGTTTCCGAGTGTTGTACTTGAATTGAGGTCTATCACCAGCTTCCTTGAAGGCTTTTAACTTGATTTGGAAGGTTCCTTGCACTAGAAGTTAGTGGTCTGAACCTACATCTGCTCCTCTTCTTGACCTTGTGTTAAGTAGACTGCGTCTCCATTTTCTTGAGATTGAGATAAAGTCGATTTGATTTTTAGTGTGTCCATCTGGTGAAGTCCATGTCGCTTTGTGGATATCCTTGTGCCTGAACACACTGCCTCCAATCACCAAATCGTTGAATGCGCAGAATTCTGCAAACAATTCTCCATTCTCATTCATTTCACCTAGCGCCTCTCGACCCATGGTTAGTTCTCTTCCCGTGTTGTCCCCTCCCAGTTTGGCATTCATGTCGCCCATTAGAATTTTGATATCGCCAACTGACGTCTTGTCCAGTGTTGATTGAAGTTGTCTGTAGAAATCCTCCTTTTTCTCTTGCTCTGCATTATTTGTAGGTGCATAACATTGTATGATTGTGACCTTTCTTCCTTTTGAGTTGAATCTTGCTGTCATGATCCTGGAGGAGATTGGTTCCCACTGCATGAGAGCCTTCGATGCTCTTGAGGACATCATGATAGCCACTCCCTCAGTGTGCTCGTGGTTGGCGTCTGGGTGACCGGAGTAGATTATTGATTCTCCAGTTGACAGTTTGGAGAGTCCACTCCCATTCCATCTGCTTTCGCAAATCCCAAGCACTTCGATGTTATACCTTCTCATCTCCTTTGCAATCTGGGCTGCCTTACTGGGTTCAAACATCGTGCGGACATTCCATGTCCCCACGTTTACTTTCGCTTTCATCGAGAGAAGACACATCGGCCAATTGGCTTCCCGAAGGCTTTCACCAACTGGCGTCATTTCGCCTCTCCGATTCCAGCGGGGAATAAGTTTGTTTTCATTTTTTATATTTTGTTTGTGCTTTGAAGTTTCTTTAGCGGTTAGATTTGTTTTACGGGGTAGGGTTGCTAGCCCTATGCCCAACCTTCCCTGTATACCCGGGCTTAGGACCGGCTAGTAACTAGTGAACTAGTTAACCAGGCGAGGTTCCAAAATATTATCCAATAAATAATACTGTTTCACTGTATGATAATTCTAACAAACTGACTAAAATGGAATAATCTAAAGCCTTGCTCAATATTCAGTCTTCTGTAGAAAAAATGGTAACGACAATGAAAACTAATGAATCTTTGCTGCCTCTTGCAAGCCAATCAATTTGTAAGGACTCAGTCATGTTTAGGAGCGAAACCAACTAAACGTAAATCGATGAAAAGTCTTGGTAATGACTGTAAGCAATGATGAATAGTGAATCTGAAGGATATAGAGATATGAGTCCTAGGTAATAGCTGTCATCTATTTAGGTCAAAAAAGTGAAGTTGTAGAAAAACGAAGA